ACCCTATGGGATGCTGGGAATCAAACCCGGTTGGCCGCGTGCAAGGCAAACGCCCTGCCCGCTGTGCTATCGCTCCAGCCCTTTTACTGAATTTTTATTTTGGGGCCACACCTTGTGGTGCTCTGGGCTCAGGGCTGACTCCTGGCACCATATGTGGTTCCAGGGCTCAAACCTACATCAGGATACTAAAAGCAAGTTCCCTAACTGCTGTACTAGTGGCTCCGCCCCTCTGAGGCCCTATTTTGACTGCTGTAAAGCCTGGCTCTCTGCAGGGCCCCCTGTACCTGCGGGAAACTTCATTTCCTTGAAGCTCTTGATGGGGGGCGGGATCCCGTCCCCCTCCACCAGGATGTGGTACTTCTTCCGGACCCTCTCGTGCCGCTCCTCAGACATGCTCAGTACATACCGGGGCGGGGTCCAACTGCGGGCAGGAGCGGGGAAGAGTCAAGAGAAGCCTGGCCCCGGAACTCTGGGGGAATCCCGCAATATTCTTTATTTTTTTGCTTTTTGGCTCACACCCAGTGATGCACAGGGATTACTCCTGGCTCTGTATTCAGGAACTACTCTTGGCGGTGCTCAGGGGACCATATGGGATGCTGGGAATCGAAACCGGGTCGGCCGCGTGCAAGGCAAACACACTACCCGCTGTGCTATCACTTCAGCCCCTCTTTTTTTTTTTCTTAGTTTCTGAGCTCACAAGATCATGCAGTGCCAGGGATGGACTGTGGGCCTCCCGCATGCAAAGTTCACATCCAGCCCTTTATACTGTCCCTTCCGCGGCCCCCCTCCAGCCAGGATCCCCCCTCGCCCCCCGCCAACCCCCACTTATACACAAGCTGCAGCTGTGTACCTGGTTTTGATGGGGTCATCGTAGGTGATTCCCTTTGCCATCTCCTTCACAGACATCAAGGCTGGAAGCGGAGACACGTGAGGCTCAGGGCTGATTCCTGCCCAGGCCCATGAAGACAGACCCCGCTGGTAAGCGTGTGTGGATCCACTTCCTCCCTGACCAAGGTCCTACCTCGGCCCTCGGCCACACTTTCCAGAATCTTCTCTTCTTCCTTCAGCTGCTTCTCCTTGGCAGACTCCTTGCGGGCTGAGAAAACGTGAAGGCATAGTAAAAGAGGTAAAGCACTTGCCTTGCATACAGCTGACCCTGGTTTGATTCCTGACACCACATATGACATGACTCCCAGGACAACTGTCAAGGTTCGTTTCTGAGCACAGGGCCAGTACTAAAAGCTTCGAAAGACCGCTGGGTGTGGCCCAGCACCAACCCCATCCCTTCCCCCTCAAAAAGGGAAAAATGGGGCGGGAAAGAGATTTAGCACCCCTTTAATAATATACACTGTACGATCCAGGATGATGTGAGTATATGATTACAGGAACTGGATTGTGTGCAAACCACACAACCAAGAGTGGGCACTTCCCCAAAGCAGGACAACCTCATGAATGAGCCCGGACATCACAACAATGACAAAAAGAAGGGAAGTGGGGGGGCTGGGGAAACTTAATAGTATAAACACCAAAGCAAGGGGCGGAGCTTGGTCCACCTCCCGTGCCCCGCCCTGCCTCTAAACCACGCCCCAATAGATATCCCCGCCCCTAAACCCTAAGTCACGCCCCCAAGCAGATGCCCGGACACTAAACCAGTCTAACAGATACCCCGCCCTGCCTCCAAACCACGCCCCAGATGCCCCGCCCCTGCCTCAAACCACGCCCCAAACAGATAGCCCCCGCCCGACTCTAAGCCGTGCCCCCGAAGCTGCCCCGCCCAACTTGCACTGTCGTGCCCACCTTCCGCCTTCTCCTTGAGGTGCTGGTGCTGATCCAGGAGGCTGACGTTGGACTGGGGACCCAGCGGGATGTCATCCTCATCCCCCCGTGGCTCGCTGCCGCTGTCCTGCTGCTCCTCTTCCGCCGCTCCCTTGCGCCGTCGCTGAAGCAGCTTCTGGAGCTGAAGTTCCAGCAGGGACCCTCAGAGCCAGTTCCGCGATGGGCGGCCTCGGAGCCCGGGGGTCGGCTCGGGGCGCGAGGCTGGAGTTCCGTTCCAGTCCCTTGCACTAGGTTTCCCAGTCCCACGTTTGCCTGGGTCTCGCGCCATCCCGTCTCAACTCACCGCGACACCTCTTCCCCACCCCCAGTCCCCCAACCCGCGGGCCCTCCGAGCTGGGGGGTCTCACCAGCAGCTGCCGGCGCTGTCGCAACGGCACGTAGGGCACGTAGTCTTCGTCGTCCTCATCCTCCGCCTCCGAACGGCTTTCTGCGCCAGTCGCCTCATCGGTGCGAGCCCGCTGCGGACACACACGAATCAGGCCCGGTCCCGCCCCCTCAGCCTCAAACAGCCACCCGCCGCCCGCGCGGACCCCCAGCCTCGCTCCCACCTTGCGTTCGGGTTCCGACTCCTCCATTCTTTGCCCGCACGCATGCGCGCCGCGGCTAAAGCCCGCCTCCCTTGAAGGGCGAACCAATCGGAGGCGAGGAAGTCGACGTCGGCGCCTAGCAACTACCTCCACTGGCTGCCGGGTCGCGCCGAGGGTCAAACTTCTTGAGCGCCAGGTAAAGCATTATGGGACGCGGGAAAACTTGGGAGTCGATGCTGAAAGCTTGTGCCCAGAGGGGTGGAAGTGGAGAGATGATCCCAGAGAGGCATCCGCCGGGTGTCCAACGCTCATCCGGAGCGTGAAGACACCGTGCATGCCCAACCGGCGGTCTGTGTGCCCCCTCGGCTGGCGACAATCCGGGGACAGGACCACTAGGAACCCACGGAGGTTTCTGTCCCGGAGCGATGCGTTGGCTGGTGGAATAAAGGGGCCCACGCTCACGGCCACCTTACTAGTGTCTATGAGTGTTCCGGATGGTGACAGTCTGTTTGGATGAGTATCGTTTGACGTGGGGCGGCGCCGGGGATCTAACCCACCCGCCTCACACACCTGCTCCCCTCCACGGAGCCTCATAGCCTTCCCTCCCGGTCCTGCCGTGCTCAGGCTTGTCCGTGATCATGCAACCCCTGTGCGGCAAGTGACAAAGCTCAGTGGCTTCTGTCCTGCGAAGCAGGAGACCCCTGGATCGGAGCTTGCGGGGAGGCGGTGTGTGGACCTCAGAGCCAGGAGTATGGGCGTGACGGTTCTCTGCAAATGGAGGCATTCGGAGCCGTACCAAGAACTGAGCCTTAAAAGGATGGGCTAGACCCCAGAATTTTATTATTTTGGGGAGATGTCAACCCCAACAGTGCTCAGGGTCCACATTCCTGGCGGTGCTAGGGACCAAATCTGGAGCCTCCACGTGTAAATCACGTGTTCCAGCCCCAGGAGTGGTCTTGTTCCTGGGGATTTTTTTTTGTGATCAGTAATTTGGGGGCATTGAGGCCACACCTGGCAGTACTCAGGGCTTACTCTTGGATCTGTACTTAGGAATCACTCCTGGTGGCTCTTGAGGGACTCTTCATGAGAAGTTGGGGCTCGATCCTGGGCTAAGAAAGGCATGTATCTTAGCCCTGTACCATCTCTCTAGCTCCTGATCCATTTTTTAAAATTTGACTTTTGGGCCACAGCAGGCAGTGTTCAGGGCAGTCTCCCAATGATGCTCAGGGAGGACTCCTGGCTGAGTGCTGAGGGGAAGCACCTGATATTAGCAGCTGAATGCAGGGCATCAGATACAATGCTCACCACAGAGCCACATTCCTGAACGTTTGTGGGTTTTTTGTTTGGGGCCACACTTGGCAGTGCTCAGGGTTAACTCCTGCCTCTACACTCGGGGGTCACTCCTGGCAAGCTCTGGGGGCCATATGGGGTGCTGGGGATCTAACCAACGTTGACACCAGCTTTGTGGCAAGCTCCTAAAACTCCTGTATTGTTTCTTTGGCCTTTGTTTTGGCCCCATCATTTTTCACGCTGCCCCTCTCCCCAAATACTTTTTTTGTTTCTTAGCTTTTTTTGGGTCACACCCAGCAGCACTCAGGATTTACTCCTGGCTCTGCATTCAGGGATCACTCCTGGTGGGCTCAGGGGACCATACAGGATGTCCGGGATCAAACCCAGGTCTTCTGTGTGCAGGCAAGTGCTCTAGCTGCAATACTGTGTCTCCAGCCTTATTTTGGGGCCACACCCAGTGGTGCTCAAGGCTAACTCCTGGTGAGGCTCAGGGGACCATAGGGGGTGCTGGAGATTGAATCTGAGTCAGCTATGTGCCTGGGGAGTTCCCTCCCAGCTTCAGCTCCTTGGCTGGTTTTATTTGGATTCTTTTGGTTTGGGGGCCCACATCTGGCAGTGCTCAGGATTTACTCCTGGCTTTATGAGGAATTTCCAGCAAATCTCTAGGAGTCAAATCAGGTGTGGAGGGCAGAGGGGAGAGAAGGGAGAGCCTTGGACTTGGTTTCCAGGTGGGCTCATCTCCATCCAGCTCCCTCCTTCACCAGTGCTCAGTCTCTTCCCGGGACCAGCTCCTGGGCTCCCAGACCCCTCCTACCCACAGCTGCTGCCACCAGGTCCAGTCACCATGGTTGACAGGGCCCTAAAGATGCAGCTCTCCCTCACTGGGGTGAGGGCAGCTGGGCTTAATTAGCCCTGGTGGGCCAGACAACAAAGTTGGCCAGGAAGCTGCCTTCCCAGGGCCTCAGTCTCCCTCATCTGCAAAATGGGCCTATGTACTCTGCCCAGTACAGCGAGGACTAACCCAAAACTTGGGCTCCAGGGCCTGAACCCAGGGACCTGTAGTGAGTTCAATGACTAAAGTAGGACACCCCACCCTCCCACCTCCAAACTTTTTTTTTTTTTTGATTCTGGGCCAGACCTGGTGATGCTCAGGGCTCAGAAATTACTCCTGGTGGGCTTGGGGGAACCCTATGGGGATGTATGGGGATACTGGGGATCCAACCCGACTCCAGTGCGTGCAAGGCAAGCGCCTTTCCCGCTGCGCTATGTATGGCTCTGGCCCAGGACACCCCAGCTTCTGAGGAGCTTCCCCGGCCCCCCCCCCAACCACCAACACACACACAGCTGCTGTGTCCAAATGTTGCTTTATCTTTCGGCAAGAAAGATCTTCACAGTATCAAAAGAATGGAAAAATAATCCCCCCCCAACAAACAAACGAACAAAAAAACACCCCCGAACACAAAGAATGGGGGAGGGGGCAGCAGTACCGTCGCCCCCCGGCCCCGCCAGCCCAGCACCCCCCTGGCTCGGCGTTCGAGGCTGCCGGCGGCGTAGCACCAGGAAAACGGCTCTGTGGATGCGGAGGGCCACCCCCGCCTCCCCCGCCGCTTGCAGCCGCGTCTCAGCTTTGGGTTGGTCCGACGGCGGCGGCGGCGGGAAGGTCGGGGCCGCGGGCTGGGAAGGAGGGGCACCGTCGACCGTCAGCTCCAGTCGGGGTCCCGGGGCCACCCGAAGCTGCTGGACCCGGTGGAGGAGGCTGAGATAAATGGAAGGGCAGGACCACGTGGTGAGGGACAGGGCTCCCCTGTACCGTGGGCCTCCCGGGATGGGGTAGGGGTGAGTAGGGGAGTGGCCTGCTGTCAGAGGCTGAGGGTTCCTGCCGGGGATCCTAGGAACAGCAGACCCTTCTGCTACAGCCCAGACCCCCACTCCTGCCAGTCCCATTCTTGGTTGTTGGTTTTGTTTCCCGGCCACAAGGGCAGTGCTCAGGGGTCACTCCTGGCAGTGCTCAGGACCGATGGGGTGCCAGGGATGTGACCCAACTGGCCACGTGCAAGTCAAGCGTCCTCCCACTATACGATCTCTCTGACTCCTAATCCTGGTTATAGGTAAAGGTAAAGGTAAAGGCCCTCCCGTTGTTCATCGATTTGCTCGAGCGGGCCCAGTAACGTCTCCATTGGAGACTTTGTTGTTACTGAGTTTGGCATATCGAATATGTCACGGGGAGCTTGCCAGGCTCTGCCGTGCGGGTTATATATATGTGTATATATGTATAACCCAGTGATGTTCAGGGGTTCCTCCTGGCTCTGCGCTCATTAATGACTCCTGGCAGTGCTCGGGGGACCCTATGGGATGCGGGGAATCGAACCTGGGTCGGCCATGTGCAAGAACTACGCCCTCCCACTGGACTATGGCTCTGGGCCCCCAATCTTGTTCTTGGGGCACATACCATCGAGAGAGGTGGTGGGGGAGGGGGCCGGAGTTCTCCCAGAGGGTGGGCTTCAGTCCCCTTGGCTTCGCAAATCCAATGGGGGGGAAGGGGGGTTGTCCGGACACTCTATGATTTTGTCCAGATGGAGAAGCGAGTGTGCATGTGTGTGTGTGGGGGGCAAGTGGATCCCCCATTCCTGTAAGAACTCCTGGAAGGTGCACACCCTAGCCTGGGATAGGACCAGGGCGCCTAGCCAGCCCCGGCCCTGCATCCTGAAGTTGGGGGATGGGGCTGCAGAAAATCCTGACCTGGACCCCGAGCTTCTTCCTCAGCCATCCTCAGCTACCTAAGCTGCCTGGCAGCTGGGAGCGGTGCAGAGACTGAGAGTGGGAGAAAAATGGGGGATCCATGATCCATGTTCCCCTGGAAGCACCTCCCCCAGGCCCAAAGGACCCCCAAAGCTGGGGTTCCCCTGAGCCTCAAAGTATAGCGCCATCCCTGAAGCTTTCTGGAAGCAGCTGACGGTGGGGGAATGCGAGGGACCGCAGAGGAGAGGAGAGGCAGGGGGAACGTGGGGAGCGGGGTACCCAGAGTGCAGGGGGCATCTCCGTACCTCACTGAGCCGTGCTAGGAGGAGTTTTCTTGAGGCTGAAGTTGGTCCAGTTCACCGCCACCTTCTGCCGAATTTGCTTGGCAGAATCCAAACAGAACCTGGGGTTGGGGGGGCGGGGTGGGGGAGAGAGAGGAGAGTGAGTCTGGGGCGGGGGGAGTGTTCCCTCGTGCCTCCCGCCTGGGCCCCCACTCCAGTTCCAGACCCACGTGTCCTGGTCACATAAGGGCCTGCATGGGCTCTGCATGATCGTCTCTGGGGGTTGGGGGAACCGTGCAGGCTGGGCCCCCACCTGTCTAGTGGCTGGGGACCCTGCAGTGCCTGGGTGGGCCAAGGCCTCATCTGAGCTGGGCAGTGAGCCGGCCCACTGGGCCAACTTCCGGCCCGGCCCTTTGCTCTGTTTCCATTTTCTTTCTTTCTCTCTCTCTTTTTTTTTTTGCTTTTTGGGTCACACCCAGCAATGCACAGGGGTTACTCCTGGCTCTGCACTCAGGAGTTACTCCTGGCGGTGCTCAGGGAACCATATGGGATGCTGGGAATTGAACCCGGGTCAGCCGTGTGCAAGGCAAATGCCCTACCCACTGTGCTATCTCTCCAGCCCCTCCCCCCCCTTTTTTAAAAAGGTTTTGGACTGCACGCGGTGATGCTCAGGGCTGACTCTTGGCTCTGTGCTCAGGAATTGCTCCTAGTGAGCTTGGGAGACCCTATGGGATGTCGAGAATCGAACCCAGGTCAGCTGTGTGCAAGGCAAACACCCTCCCTGCTGGACCAGCACCCCAGCCCCACAACTGTAAATATTTTTTCCAGTCTGGGCTCTAGTCCAGGGTATAAGACATGCCAGGTAAGTGCCTGGTGCCCAGCTCCCTCTTATTCCAGTTTTTTTGACTGGGCTCAGGGCTAACTCCTGGTTCCGTGCTCAAGAACTACTCAAGTTGAGCTCAGGGGAAACTGGGATATCGGGGATCGAACTTGGGTCAGTGTGTGCAAGGTAAAAGCCTTCCCTGCTGTACCATCACTTCCGTCCGTCCTGGCTTCTCTCTAGCTTCCTTCCTAGTCAACGTCTGCATCCAATGAGAATGGAAATTAAATTATTATTTTTTGGTGGGGGGCGTGGAGGGGGTTTTGGCCACACCCAGGGTACTCAGTGGCTACTCCTTAGCAGTGCTCAGGGAGCTCTATGGGGTAATGGTGATTCAACCCCAGGTTCACCATATGTAGGGCAGGGGAGGCACCAGAACCTCTGGCCTCTCTTTGCCCTGGTGTGGTGTTTCTTTTCATCCTCAAATCTCTGCACCAATGATGTGTTGGCATGAAGACCCTTTTTCATGTGAAATTTAACTTTTTTTTTTAATTTTGTGCCCACAGTTGGCGGTGCTCAGGGACCATACAGGATGGCAGGGATGGAACCCAGGTCAGTCACATGCATGGCACAGCACGCACCCTCCTGGCCATCCTACCACTCTGACCTTCCCTCATTCACTCTAGACCAGGGGCACAAATTGCTCTCACAAAATGAGCTGGGGGCTGGAGTGATAGCATAGCGGGTAAGGCGTTTGCCTTGCATGCGATCGACCTGGGTTCGATTCCCAGTATCCCATATGGTCCCCTGAGCACTGCCAGAAGTAATTCCTGAGTGCAGAGCCAGGAGTAACCCCTGAGCATCCATCCCCAGGTGTGACCTAAAAAGAAAAACAAAAACCAAAAAACAAAAAACCTGGGGTTGGAAGATAGTATAGTGGGAGTAATTCCTAAGCTCAAGCCAGGGGTAAATCCTGGGCATCACTGGGTGTGGTCACAAAGCAAATGAAAAAAACAAACAAAACAACACAAAAATCCCAGAGGGGTTGGAGCTATAGTACAGTGGCTAGGTTGTGTGCCTTCCACATGGGTGAGCTGGGTTCGATCCCCAACCTGGCTTCCCATATGGTACCCAAGCACCACCAGGAATAATTCCTGAGAGCAGAGTCAGGGGTAATCTCTGAGCATCGCTGGACTGAACCCCCCCCCCCAAAAAAAAAAGAGAAAAAGAAAAAAAAAAAGAAGAAAAAAAACAAAACAAAACAGATCTGGTGACATTTGGGCCCACATCTAGTGTTTGCCTGACCTTGGTACTGCCTGGTCCCCTGAAATCACGACACATACGCAGCAATTTGCATCCTCAGGGCCCTGTGCTCATCGGTGAGGTCTGGGGGCCCCTGTGGGGTGCCGGGGATGGAACCCCGGGGTGGCGGCATTGCAAGCGCCCTCCCAGCTGTGCTATTCCCTCTGGGGGCCCAGACCCTCCCACCCCTCGGGTCCTACCTTTTGAAGTACTCCACCTCACGGTCCGTCTCGTCCATGTCCACCCCCTCCGTGTCCTTGGGCAAGAAGACGTCATCTAGGAAGACACAGCCGGCGGTGGGGGGGGCCTCAGCGCCTGGGGCCAGGCCACCCGCGGCCGGCGCGCTCCGAGGTCCCTTCTCCGAGAAACTCACCCAAGGAGGCGGCCGACTTCTCCTTGTTGCGGCTCCGACGGCTGCGGGCCTTGACCTGTGGCAGGCTCTGGGGTCTGGCGGGGCCCGGGGCCGGGGGGCACTCGGGCTCCGGGGGTGGCCAGCTCCGCCAGGAGTTTCGCTTCTCCTTGTCCGCTTTGGGGCTGCCGGCCCAGCCAGGCCCCGGCCGGCCACCCCGGCCGCCTTCCCCGCCCTCGGCGACACAGCCGCCTGCTCTGGGGGGCTCTGGTGACTTGCCGGGCAGCTTGGGGCTGGGGGGCTGGCCCTTGGCACTGGGGGTGTCGAGGCTGGCGGGGGGCCGGGGGGCCGAGCCGGCCTCAGTCTTCTTGGCCTGGCTGTTCTGTCTCTTGCCCTTGCGGGCCTTCCCGCCTGCGGCTGCAGGCTCCGGCAGCTCCGGCTTGGTGCTCGGTTCCTCGGGGCCCGGGTGGCCGGGCTTTGGGCTCTTGACCCAGATCACCCGGGACAGGCTGGGCACGGTGCTGAGTCTTCTCACCAGCCCGTTCTCGGGCAGCATCCCGGGCGGGGGGACCCGCAGGTCGGCCCACGGGGGTGGCGCCGGGGACGGGGCGCCGGGCGGGGAGCCCAGGGTCAGCGGGGACAGGTCCAGGTTGATGTCCGGCCGCTCCTCGGGGGAGCTGTTGAGGTTGCACGGGGCCAGGCCGGGGGCCTCAGCGGGCCCCTCCTTGGCAAAGCCGTTCCTGTCCAGGGTGAAGCTGGCCCGGAGGGAGCCGCTGACCGCGCCCTTGATCTCCTGCAGGTGGTTGCTCAGGAAGCTGCTGACCCGGTCCAGCTCGCGCTCTGGCCACTCCAGGAGCTGCTCGGGGGCCGCTGGCGGCTCGCGGCTTGCAGACAAAGTTGGGGGCCCGGGCCTGAGGGCATCGGCTGCCAGCTGGGCCTTCTCCTTCTCCTGCCAATACAAGGTGGGGGGTGTCAGTGGCAGCCTGGCAATGCCCGGCACATGCGGGGGTGTGTGTGTGTGTGTTGTGTGTTGATGGCGCCCTGGGCACACGCGGGTGTGTGTGTGTGTGTGTGTGTGTGTGTGTGTGTGTGTGTGTGTGTTGATGGTGCCCCGAGGAAGCAAGCATAGTGCTCAGATCCCAGAGTACTCAGGGAGGGCATATTGGAGGAAGCAGATCTCCCAGTGCAAGGAAGCAGGGCTGGGAGTCTCCTGGCGAGGGTCCGGGCATATTCCGGAGGTGGGGATATCAGAGAACACACCTGGAGGGAATGTGAGCATTCAGCAGTTAAGGCAGAAGCTGAGTTCTTTTTTTGGGGGTTGGGGGGGGGGGTGGGAGAAGAGCCCCACGTAATGCTCATGGAGGCCCCACTGTGTGGCTTAGTGGTTGGGCCTGGGCTACGGTGGTGGGGAGCAAGCCCCCCCCACGCCCGCCATCCCTCCTGGTGCTGGGGATGGAGCTCAGGACCTCTCGTGTGCCCCTGCCACCCCAACCAGCACTGCTTTGGACACTGGCGGTGCTCAGGGGTGCTGGGAATTGAACCTAGGTTGGCTGTGTGCAAGGCAAACGCCCTACCCGCTGTGCTATTGCTCCAGCCCCGCCAAAGGCTTTTTCAATGGACTTATATGGGGGTGCAGGTGGCGGGTGGGTTTGGGTGCGGGGGGCGGTGGGACCTGGCTCTCTACGCAGGAGCAACCCCAGGGTTGAGACCAAGTCCCTGGCTGCAGGACTATTTTTTGGAGCCCCGTCTTGATTTTGGGGGCACCTGGCTCTGTGCTCAGGGAACCCTCCTGGCGGGGCTCGGGGGAGCATGTGGGGTTGCAGGGATCGAACCTGGGTCAGTCCTGCATGCCAGGCAAATGCATCACCCAATACACCATCCCTCCGGTCTGGGTTTTTTTTTTGGGGTAGTTGTTTCGGGGTCAGGCCTGTTTGAGCTCAGGATGAGCCGGGTGAGCTGTGTGTAGTGCAAGGCAAGCCGGCTCTCAGGCCCTGCTCCTGAAGACTTTTTCTCTGCTAGTTTTGGGGCCTCACCAGGCAGTGCTCAGGGCTTCCTCCTGGCAGTACTGAGAGGACGATATGTGGTGCTGGGGACTGAACCCAGGTTTCCTCATGCAAGGTAAACACCCTAACACTATACACTGGCTCCTGCCCTGAAAGCCCCTCCCCCCCCAAAAAAACATAATACAAAAAAAGCCCCCAAAAATAACTTGGTTTTGTTTTGTCTGGGGCCACACCCAGAAATGCTCAGGGCTCTGCTTGGGGGACCTTATGGGGTGCCTGGATGGAACCTGGGTCAGCAGCATCAAGGGAAATGCTGGCTTGCTCTAGTATCACTCCAGCTCCCCTGTGAAAGTGTTTTAAAGACCGAGAGGAAGTGAAGGGGGCACAGATGCAGATCTCTGCCAGGGGGCAGGGAGTGTGTGTGTGTGTGTGTGTGTGTGTGTGTGTGTGTGTGATGTGCATGCACTGAGCCCCAGAACCAACACTGACCACCTCTCCCGCAGGATGTAGTCCCCAGAAACCCCAGCATCCTCTGCATCCTCTCACCCCTCTGCCTGCTGCTACCCTTCCCCCCATTTCACAGATGGGGCCACTGAGGCTGAGGTGATGAGATTTGCCCAAGGTCATACGGCGAGAGGCTCAGCCAGCTTTCATCCCCGCAAGTCCCAGGCCCCCTGAGGCCCCTGGCACCAAGCAAGTGTATGTTTTCCCCCTGGGTGCGGCCCCTGCGGGAATGGCGGGGCCCTGACAGCTGCAGGAGACGTGAGCAGCAGGAAAGGAAGGGGGATTTTTGGGGATGAGGCCAGCGGGCATCAGTGTGACGTGGGGAGGATGGCAAAGGGGGTGCTTCCTCATGACCGTGCTGCAGGTGGGGGTGCCACCTACTCCCCCACCCCGTTTCCCTTCCTCCCAGAGAGAAGGTGAGTGATATCTACCACCTCCCTTCGTGGGGTGGGGGGGTCCAGCATGGGGTGGACTGACCCCAGGTGGGGAGGCTGGAGAGAGAAGGGCGGTGGGAAACTTGTGTGGGTCAGCGAGTGAGGGAGGGGCTGGGAGGACTAGCAGAAGGCTGTAAAGGTGGGGTACTGTGTTTGTTGGGGGGGACGGGGTGGGGCCAGGGGCCAGTGACAGGACGGTCGGTCCAGCCCCCACCTTGGAGGGACTCGGGTGCGAAAGTGGCAGACTGGGGTAGGCCCTTGGCCCGGGTTGGGCTGGAGGGAGGTGTAGGTGAGGGCGCCGGGACTCTGGGGCATGGGAACCACAGGCTGCCCACTTACGGTGTGAGGCCAGCTGGGAAGTGAGTCGCACCTTTGTCCTAGGGCTTGGGGGGGGAGGGGGCCTATACTCAACCCCCCCTCCCCCCATGGAACAAGTGTTGCTCTCCAGTGCGCCGGGGCCGTCCACCCGCCCAGCACGGGTGCTGTCTCCCGGGGGTGGGGGTGGGCGGCTCCCGGGTCGGGAAGCACGCAGTGTGGACGCAGCTGGGATGGGCAGGCAGGTGGGGAGGTAACGAGCCGGCAGGGGACACCATGGCAAGCCCTGGGGCTCTCCCGGAGGCAGGGCTGCCCAGGAATAACACCTGGGGCGCACTCAGGCAGCCCCCCCCGGGAGTCAAGTTGCCCCCCCTCCCCCGTCCCTCCTCCCTTGGCAGAATCCCCCACATCGCCGGTGAGCACCTGGAAGCCGCCTCTGACCTTCAGCTCTGTCCTGCCCACAAACCCCGAGAGTTGCCCACCTGGGCTGGCATCCCTGCATCACTATATGAGCAACTGGGGGTTCAGTTCCGAGCACAATTCTTAACACCCCTCCCCACTTGGGTCAAAGTCCCCCTTTTTTTGGTCACATGCACTCAGGAATTACTCCTGGCGGTACTGGGGGGACTCTATGGGATCCTGGGAATCAAACCCGGGTTGGCTACATACAAGGCAAACGCCCTACCTGCTGTGCTATCGCTCCCGTCCCTACCTGCATTCTTTTTTTTTTCTTTTTGGGTCTCACCGGGAAATGCTCAGGGATTACTCCTGGCTCATGCACACAGAAATGACTCCTGGCGGTGCTCGGGGGACCATATAGGATGCTGGGAATCGAACCCAGGTCGGCCACATGCAAGGCAAACGCCCTACCCGCTGTGCTATCACTCCAGCCCCAGGGTCAAAGCCCTTGCCCATGGCTTTCCCTGACCCCCCCCTTTGGGGGGGGAAGCGGTACCCCACAGCCCAGCCCCAGCCATTCAGCGGCAGTGCACCTGGGCAGGACACGGGGTTCCAGCTGGGGGACCTCCACTGACCCACCACAGTCCCCCTTTGGCCCCCCCAATGCCAGAAGTATCTGTAGAACAAATAAACGATTGGCACATGCCCACAGCTGGCCTCATCATCGACCCTCTGATCGTAGGCCACCCCATCCCACTTCCTGACCCTCCACCCCACCCCCAACTCATTGGGACCTTCCTGGAGCAGAGGAGAGGCCAAGGCTTGGGCCACCAGCACAGGTTTTCGACCCTGGAGTTGCTGGGAGGAGCAAGTGCACGTGCGTGCATGCATGCATGCATGCGTGTATGCATGTGTGTGCGTGTGTGTCTGCACACCGCTGCCCCCCCACCCCCACACACACCTTCTTTTTCAGCTTGTGCCGGGCGCGCTTGGCGGCCCTGGCGCTGTTGGGGGCTTTGGGCGCCGTGCTGTTGATGAACTCCAGCAGCTCGTCCACATCGCGGTGGTCTACGGCGGGTTCCCCAGGGACCCCACCCAGGGCGCCCCCTGGCACGGGTGGCTCCTCCTTCCGCCGGGTCAGGCGCGAGCGCAGCTTCTCTCGGATCTCGGTGTAGTTCCGGCTCGTCGGGGCGGCGGGTGGCTGGGGAAGGGCGAGGGGCTGGCGTTAGACCCGGGGCACCCCCCCTCCCAGGCCCGGAGCACCCCACCCGCTGGCACCAGAGGCGGTGGGGGCCCCCCTCCGGCCAGGCCCTGAGCCCAGGCGGGGCGGCGGAGGGTGCGTGGGTGGTGCGAGGGGTGTGGTGGTGATGGTAGGGGGGGTCGCGTGGGGAGCGGGGTAAGGGGGTAGGGGTCGAGCGGGCCGTGGGAGCTCACGCCCGGGGCCTTCGTCCTTTGAAGCTGTATGACCTTGGGCAGGTCCCAGAGTCGTGGTGAGCCCTGTGGATTTGATTGACTTTTACTTGGCCACTGCTAAGAGCAGGCTGGGAACCCCCAAGCCCCCAGGGGACTTCGTCCCTTCTCCTCGCCTCCTCGCCTACGCTACCCTGGCCCCCTTCCTCTTCGCTCTGGTTTCTTTCTTTTTTTGGGGGGGTCACACCCCGGCGTTGCTCAGGGGGGTCACTCCTGGCCGGTGCTCGGGGGGACCCTCGTGGGGTGCCGGGGATGGAACCCGGGTCGGCCGCGTGCAAGGCAGACGCCCTACCCGCTGTGCTAACGCTCCGGCCCCTCCTCTTCACCTTCTGAGCCTTTTGAACCGCTTCCTCCCCCTGGCCAGACACCACCGGCTGGCTCTCTCCCACCGGGGGCCCGAGCTCGGCCTTCATCACGCACAAGCCTCCACTTCTCTGCGATTACACACATTCTGATGAGGCATCAGAATCAGAGCTTTCCTCTCTGCCACTTCCTGGCCTTTGGCCTAAGGAGAAAAAGGTCCATCTTCAGAGAAACTGCGAGCAGAGCGCCGCGAGCACGAAAGAGAGAGAGAGATGCAGCCCCGGCGCTCGCTCGGGGCCTCGAGGGGGTCCCGGGGGTCCGGGGAGGAGCGGGCGGAGGCCGCACGCACGCACACACGCACGCAGGCAAGGCAGGCAGGCGGGGTGGGACGGGGGCGCGGCCGCGCGGGGCCCAGTGTGCCCATTGGCCATTGGCCGGAGCCGGGGGCGGGGCTCCGTGTGGACAGGGCGCGCCCCCGCCGCCCTCGGGGCCTTCTCTCTCCCTGCACCCCCAACCCCGCCCTCCAGGCCCCCAGTCTTTTCCGGCAGGGAGGGTGGGGGGGCCCCCGCGAAGACGCACTCACCGCATTGTGGCCGAAGAACTCACAGTAGCAACAGTCACAGAACTTGCCGTCGCGCTGGTGCGTGGAGGATGAGGTGCAGGAGCTGAGCTCGGAGCTGCTGTCTTCCTCCTCGCCCAGGCCCTCATCGGCCTCGCAGGGCTGGGGCAGCTGGCAGGCCAGGCCACTGTGAGCGCACTTGTGGCCCCTGCATCCAGGTTCCCTGAGGATTGCGGGGGGGGGGGGGGGGAATGGAGGGGAGAAGATGAAGAAAGATGAGCACCCCCCCCAAAGGCAGTTGGGGCCCCCCAGCACAGTAGGCCAGGACTTCCGTCTTGCAGGGTCTCCACCTGCCACCCCTGTCCCCTCCCGGAAGAAGCGTCCACCTTCCACCTGTCTGCGGACAGCAGATCTCAAGGGCAGGGATCACATCACTTCCTCTCGGGAGGCCTGGGGTGCAGCCCACAGTAGGTGCCTGTGCAGGCCTTTGTGGCTGATGGCTCCCTGGAACGCCCTCTCGCTGGACTCTCACAGAGATGGCAGTGCCAGGGGCCGGCCCATAAGGCTTCTGCCTCTGGTCTCTAACCAATGGGAGGCACACCGTTGCCCCTCCCAGTTAGGTACTTTGTTCTGTTTTGGGGCCATGCCTCCCAACGCTCAGGGCTGACTCCTGGTGGTGCTCCGGGGACCCTGTGGGGTGCAGGGATCGAACCGGGGTCAGCTGCTTGCAAGGCCAGGCTCTTTCCCGCTGTACTATCGCTCAGCCCCTCTCAAACTATTTCAATAATTTCCAATGAGGGTTTAGCCCAGGGCAGGGGCAAAACAGGTCTGAGTTTGCTTCGCTAGCAAACAGGCAATGTCCTCTTGAGACAAGAGGTGGGACCCCGGATAAGGCTGTGGACAGGGGGCTTCTGGAGTGAGCCCTGGCGGTGTGCAGGGTACGATCTGCCATGCCAGGGATATGAGTCGGGGGTCACCCACACAGCCTCATGTGCCTTAGCACCCCTCAGTCTGTCTCTGCAGCCCTGAATCCATTTTTTAAATGTGGGATGAGAATTTTTCTTAACTAACAAAAGCCAAAAGTCCAACCTTTTGCTGAGCCTTAGTTTTTTCCTCTCCATTTTGAAGGATCTATTCCAAGGAGAAAATTCCAAATAGGAAGTTCACTTTAAGCCTTTTTTTGGGAAAGCAGCATTTGGTTTGGCAGTGCTCAGGAGGAACACTGGGCAGATAACGTGCACTGCTACTAAGCCAGGCCAAGACTTCCTTCTTTCTTTTCTTCTTTTTTTAAATTTTTATTAGTGAAACACCATGAGGTACAGTTGTAGACTTACAAACTTTCATGCTTGGGTTTCAGTTATACAATGATCGAGTACCCATCCCTCCACCAGCAATGATCCCAGTAACCCTCCCACCCACCCCCACCCCACCTCTGTGGCAGGGCATTCTTCTTTCTTTCCTTCTTTCTTTTTTTGTTGTATGGGGACATACTGGGTGGTGCTCAGGGCTCACTCCTGGTAGGGCTTGAGGGGACCATATGGGATGACAGGGATCGAACCCAGGCCAGCCAAATCCAGACAAGCAAGCTCCCTGCTGTATTCTCTGATAGTACAGAGACATCTTTCTACTTTTTTCCCCCTTGTTTTTGGGCCACACCCAGCAGTGCTCAGGGGTTACTCTGGGCTCTGCACTCAGGAATCTCTCCTGCTGGTGCTCAGTGGACCCCATGGGATACCAGGGACTGAACCTGGGTCAGCCATGTGCAAGGCAAACACCTTACCTTCTGTACTATTGCTCTGGTCACCCTCTCTCTCTCTCTTTTTTGAGCACATCTGATGGTGCTCCAGTCCTACTCCTGGCTCTGTGCTCATGCGGTACCAGGGAGCGAACCTGGATCTTCTGCATGCAAGGTAAACACCCCACTATCTATCTCTCTGGTCCCCAAGGAATCTAGCTTTCATTTTCCTTTTTTTTTTTGAAGGGAGGGAGAGGGGGTGGGGCGCATACCTGGCAATGCTCAGGGCTTACTTCTGGCTCTGCACTGAGGGATCAAGCCTGGTGGCGTCTGGTGGATCCATTTGTGGTACAAGGGATTAATTTACATAGGCCACATGCAAGGCCACTGCCCTGCTAGCTGGGCTGTCTCTCCAGTCTCCAAGATATCACCCTTTAGAGACGTGATGATGTCATATGTTTTGGAATGACCCAGGCTGGCAGCTGGAGAAAGGTCAAGTGAATGTTCGAGAACATTCTCTGGTTTTTCAAGCTGAGTGGTCAGAAGTCCAGCGCCTGAGAATGCTAAGGGCAAGCAGTGCTGGGAAACCATGCAGGCAACTACTCACCAACACCTCCTGGGAGAAACTTCAACAATGGTTGTAACAGGGAGGTGGAGGTAGAATTTTATTATTATTATTTTTGACTTACACCCGGGAATGCTCAGGGCCCAGTCCTGGCTCTGCCCGCAGGAATCAGTCTTGGTGGTGCTCAGGGGACCATATGGATGCCAGGGATTAAACCCGGTTGGTCGCATGCAAGGTGAATGCTGAACTATCGCTCTAGCCCTTTATTTTATTTTGGAAGTGGGGTTTGGGCCACACCTGGAAGTACCGAGGGCTTCCTCCCAGCTCTACAGTCAGGTATCACACTCAGGGGACCCTACGGGATCCCAGGGATTGAACCCGGGTTGGTTACATGCAAGGCAAACGTGCTATATTCAAGATACATCCCTGAATCATAGACTATTTTAGGGCCATGGCCATAGTGCTCAGGGCTCACTCCTGGCTCTGCCTCCTTCCAAAGCCTTCTTCCAAAATGCTTTGGAATTTTATTTTGTGTTGTATTTGTAGGATACACTCAGGGCTATTCCGAACTCTGTGCTTAGGGGTCATCCCTGGCAGTACGTGGGAGAACCCTGTGTGTGTGTATGCCAGGGATTGAACTGGGTTCTGCTACTTTCGAGGCAATCCCTGTTCTACCTCTCTGCCCCCTTGGAAATATTTATTCTTGTTTTGGGCCTGATCACTCCTGGCGGGGCTTGAGGGGAGACCATATGGGGTGTGGGAACTGAACCTGGGTTGGGTGTCGCGCCTTACTTGATGGACTTTCTCTCAACCCTCCCCCGCTTAGGAGAATTTTATTTTTTTGGTTTTTGGGTCATACCCGGCGATGCTCAGGGGTTTTTCCTGGCTCTGCACTCAGGACTTACTCCTGGCAGGCTTGGGGGGAGACCATGTGGAATGACAGGGATCGAACCCAGGTCAGCTGCATGCAAGGCAGATGCCTTATCTGCTGTCCTATAGCTCTGGCCCCACTTGGGAGAATTTTAACTGAGTTTTTAATTTTAACAGAACCTCACACATGCTAAGAAACAAGTCCACTAGAGCATGTATAAACAGAGACCTCATTAAAATTTTTTTTTGGGGGGTGGGTGGGAAGCCACTCCCTGCTCAGTGCTACGGACCCCATGATGTAGGGGATTAAACCTGGGCCTCCAGCCCCCTGAGCTATCTATCTTCCCCATGTCTAATTATGTTATTTATACACAGAACCCTCAGGGAAAAAGCTCACTTTTTTTTTTTGGGCATTTTGGGTCACACCTGGTGATGCACAGGGGTTGCTCCTGGCTCTGCACTCAGGAATTACTTGCTCCTGGCGGTAGCACAGGGGACCATATGGGATGCTGGGAATCGAACCTGGGTTGGCTGTGTGCAAGGCAAACGCTCTACCTGCTGTGCTATCACTCCAGCCCCCGAGAGCTTCACTTTTTACATTTTTTTTTTTTTGTGGGGGGAGGAGGGAGTGGTCATGGTGATGCTCAGAGCTGACTCCTAGCTCTGCACTCAGGAATTACACCAGGTGGTACTTAGCGGTCCCTATGGGATGCCAAGAAGTCAGCCAGGGTCAGCCACATGCACGGCAAACACCCTCCTGCTGTACTATCGCTCCAGCCCACCTTTGACTTTTCTCTTTTTTTCTTTTTTGAGGGGTGAGGGTGCCTCCCAAGTGGTTACTTAAGAGGGTTGAGAGGGGTTCCACCAGTGATTCTCGGGAGCACATGATGTAGCTTGGGCCCTGCAGTGGTGGAGACACCTGGGCCCCCCTCGACCCTGCTGGAGGCCTCCAGGGCTACACCTGGAGATGCTGGCTGGGGGGCGGGGCAGGGCAGGGGTGGGGGCGGCATGAATATGCGGTACTAGGAACAGAGTAGCTGCCAGGCGCTTGTCCTAACTTCTGTACTACCTCCTGACCTGAGGAAAAAGTTTTTCTTGAGTTTGTGAAGGCATTTTCCCTCCCTTATTTCTACTTTTTTTTTTGGCTGGGTGTGTGTGGGGGGATGGAGTTAGGGGCCACACCCAGCAGCACTGGTACTTCCTCCTGGCTCTGCGCTCAGTGGGATTATTCCTGGCAATGCTTGGGGGGGACCCTATGGGGTGCTGGTAATCAAACCCAGGCTGGCCTTGGTGGTGTGCAAGGCAAGTGCCCATCCTGCTTCACTATGGCTCCCGCCCCTGTTTGTACATTTCTTTTTCTTTTTTTTCCTTTTTGGGTCACATCCAGCGATGCACAGGGGTTACTCCTGGTTCTGCACTCAGGAATCACTCCTGGCGGTGCTCAGGGGACCATATGGGATGCTGGGAATCGAACCCGGGTCGGCCGTGTGCAAGGCAAACGCCCTACCCGCTGTGCTATCTCTCCAGCCCTCTTTTTTCTTTTTGGGTCACAGCCGGCGGTGCACAGGGGTTACTCCTGCCTCATGCACTCAGGAATCACTCCTGGCAGTGCTTGGGGGACCCCATGGGATGCTGGGAATCAAACCCGGGCACCTGCTGTGCTATTGCCCCGGCCCCTGTTTGTACATTTCTGAATTGCCAGAAGGAATTTCCTTGATCATGGGTGATGTGAAAAAACACAGCGTGGGGTGGGGGCGTGTGTATTGGGGGTGGGGTGGGAGAGGAAGTGGGGCTAGTGGGCCCAGCGGGGTTCAGGTTTCCAAGGTCCAATTCAGGTCAGTCATGCTTACCTGTGGGTGGCAGGAAGCTGCTGGGAGGCCGGGGGTGGCAGGAGCGCCCCACTACAGTGCCCGCTGCAGGGGTGGGTGCACCCCGAGAAAGGCGGAGGCATCTTCAGGAGCGGCATGCTGGTGGAAGGCAGGTGGGGGTTCTGGCATGCCCCGGAGGGGTGCGGGGTGGCGGTGGCAGCGGCGGCGGCGGCAGCAGCGGCGGCAGCAACGACAGGGCACTCGGAGGCGAGGGCGGGGAAAGGCGGTGCTGGGGTGGCAGGCAGAAGGTAGGGGTGCGGCGGGGAGCCGAAGGCGCTGGGGTGTGGCGGGATGAGCGACGCCGGCGGGGGATGGTGGCCGGTGGGGCTGTTGGGCGGAGCAGTGAGGTCTGAGCTCCTGTGATGCTCCGAGAGGGGGAGCCCCTCACCTGCGGGCGGGCGGGGGTGGGGGAGAGAGGGGGTCAGGGTGGTGTTTGCCCGGCCTCGGAACACCTCCGGGAGGCGGTCCAGGGCGCAGCCCCAGGTCAGGATTCTCACTCCCACTTCAAGGCGGGGCATTCCGTGGGGGCGGGTCCAAGTGGCAGCGTGAGCAAGCACGATTGGCCAATCACCTGCCAATCTGCGGGGCCCGCCTCCCAGGGGATGGGGCTGCGCTGACAGCCACACCCCCCTGTTAATTTCTGGGGTTTGCACCAGGGGGTCCTCACCCCGGCATCTGCCCCTTTATTGGGGGAAAAGGAGGCCCAGAAAACCGTGGCCACTGGGGTGCGGGCCAGTGTGGCAGGGGTCACTGGATCCAAGTCAAGACAGACTCCCGGAGCCACTTTTCTTCCAAAGGGCCCTGGATGGGCTGGAGACCCTCTCAGGGCGACCCTTGCCATCATCCCCCTAATGGATAATGGGTTCTACTCAGGGGCACTCAGACGCCGGGGGGCACTCACCGGGGCTGGGGGGTGGGCTCCCGAGCAACGTGCCCGGCGCCACCCCGCTGGGATGCGGGGAGTTCCAGAGGCCCGAGAGCTTGTGCGCAGACAGGAAGGAGCTGGGATCCCAGTCGCCTGAGTTCCCGTGGCAGGAGGACGACGAAGACGAGGATGAAGACGATGAGGAGGAGGACGAGGAAGACGAGGATGAGGAGTGAGAGTCGACGCCACAGGACTGCGACTTGCAGGATGTGTGGGACAGGGAGATCTGGTGATGGGGAGAAAAGGTCCCGGTCAAGGACAGGCGAGGTCAAGGGCAGACACGAGGGAGATACAGTATCAGCACCAGAGCCGAAGCATTCGCATCTACTGCTTGGGGGTGGGCAGGGGCTTCCCGGCAGAGTTGAGGGGCTCCGGAAGAGGAGAGGAGAGTAAAGATGGAGTGGGAAAGACTTGGGGGGGAGGGGTCCAGCTGCTTGGAAACCGGGATAGCAGGGGTGGTGGTACTATAGCTCAAGGGGCCCCCAGAATGTTTGTTCAGATGTCAGAACCTTGTAGCTGTCCCCAAAGTACTCCGAGCCATGACGGCCATCCGAGAGCAAGGGCGGGGGGGTGGGGTGGGTTGGGGGAAATGGGGACACTCCTGGGTGGGGACCCCTGCCAAGCTCTGCAGTGGGCACCTACCGCCAGCGCATGCTCGCGGCCCGTCTGCTTCTCTTCCTCCTCCATGACCCGGCGGCAGCTCGGACACACCCACAGCGGCATCTCACCCAGGAGGTTCTTGACCAGCTTGGGCATGAAGTCGGAGGGCAGCTTCTCCCCCTGCAGCACCAGCCCGTTCTGCCCGGGGTTCTCTTCCCAGCCGCGCCGAGCGCGGTGGCACAGCAAACAGCACGTCTGCGTTGCGGGGCCAGGAACCTGCATGACCCAGAGAGGCGGGGGGGATAGAAGGGGGGTTCCTGGGAGGTGGCTGGGGGTACAGCCTCGATGCTGCTGACCTCACGACTCCCACTGGCGCTTCATGACTGGGGGGAGGTGGAGGAGGGAGGCTAAGGGGAAGTGAACGGCCAGCAATTCCATCCTCAATAATTGAGGCTCCTATCTCGATCCCCGCCCCATGCCCTGTTTTTTTGGCAGAAGATTTTGCAAAGTTCAGTCGCCCGGTTAGAAAGCTAGTGACAGAGCTAGACAGCCAGTCAGCCAGGCCTTCGGTACCTGATGTCCCCAACCCACAAATTCTTTTTTCTTTTTTTTTGCTTTTTTGGGTCACACCCGGCAATGCACAGGGGTTTCTCCTGGCTCTGCACTCAGGAATTACCCCTGGCAGTGCTCAGGGGACCATATGGGATGCTGGGAATCGAACCCAGGTCAGCCGCGAGCAAAGCAAATGCCCTACCCACTGTGCTATTGCTCCAGCCCTCAACCCACAAATCCTTTGTTTTTGGGCCACGCTCAGTGGGGCTCAGGGCTTACTCCTGGCTCTGTGCTCAGGGTGCACTGCTGAGCATTTGGGATGCTGGGGATTGAACCTATGTCGGCTGTATGCAAGGCACGCGTCCTCCCTGCTGTACTATTGTTCTGGCCCCGGAAGAGGTATGCCTGAATCTCATTTCCCCTGGAACTCAATAGGGCCAGTGACGTGCAATGGACATGGCTTTGTAGGTCTGACCGAGAACATGCAAGAGGCAATGGTTTTCCCCGTGAGCCTGAGACGTAACCAAGCACGCAGCCCAACACCGTGTCTGTGGAATAATCCCCAATATCTGTACCGAGCAGGAACAGCAGCGGGAGGGGGCTCAAAATCAGGGCTCAGGGACTGGGAGAGAGGCCGGCGGGTAAGATGCTTGCTTCACATGCAGCAGACCCCGAGTCTGAACCCCGGCATCCCAGAGGGTCCCCTGCGTCCTGCCAGACGCGACAGCTGAATACAGAGCCAGGAGTTATCCCTGAGCACAGGCAGGTATGGGTCCAGCCCTCCCCCCACCCCCAGGGCAAAAATTAATTAACTAATTAAAAAAAAAGGGATCAGGGGCCAGAGAGACAGTATAAGAGGTGAAGCGCCAGCTTCGCATGCAGCTATGACGCCCCGATCCTGGTTCAAATCCCCGGCATCCCATAAGGTGCCCCAAGCCCCGCCAGGAGTGACATCTGAGCACAGAGCCAGGAGTTATCCCGGAGCATCATCGCTGGGTGTGGCTCAAAACCAAAAACATTAGTATAAACATCTACCACATGGACTATATTGGAGACAATGTAGTTTTCTCCTGTTGGGATGGGGATGTCCTCCCCTGATGGATAGAAGCCCCCTCCCCCCTTACCTTCATGCCCAACATCCTTGGCCTTCTCTTCCCTTGCAGCATGACCCCTGGGGGATCCCCTGCTGAAAACCCGTGAGGAGCTGGGCACGGTATGCAAGGCCCAGCTGGCACCTGATGTCACAGGCAGTGCCTTAGCCCAGGGCTGTCAATAACAGCCAGGAATCGGTAATATCATAGCTCTTTTTGTGCTGTTTTGTTTTTGGGCCACACCTGGTGATACATAGGGCTGACTCCAGGCTGTGTGCTCACAGATCACTCGGGGGACTACACGGGGTGCCAGGAATTGAAGCTGGGTCGGCTGAGTGCAAGGTGAGTGGCTTACTCCAGTTTTGTTTGGTTTTGGGTGGAGGGGGGACCACACCCGGTGACGCTCTGGCTCTGGAATCAGGAGTTACCCTTGGTGTTGCTCAGGGAACCTTATGGGATATAGGGGATCGAGCCCGGGTCAGCATGTGCAAGGCAAATGCCCTCCCTGCTGTCCCACCTCTCCAGCCCAGCTCATCTTTGTCCCTTCCTGATAAAGGAGCGCCAGGGCACCAGAGGAAGTACCAGGTCTGTTCCCTGCTGGCTGCTTTATGATACTGCAAGGCACTGGCCTCAGCTGGTCAAGTCACTCAATTTGCTTTGCTGAGTTCCCCGGGGCAACGTGGTGGGGGGGTGAGTCACTGTGCCCCCCCCGCACTGTTGGACCAGCTCCCCACCCTGTCCCTCTGCCTTTGCACCTCTCCTGTGTGGGAGACCATGCTCCTGGGGGGCTGTGACATGAGCTTTCCCTAGCTGCCCCCCATTGAAATCGGGGGCTTCTCCCCAGACTCACTGAGCCCTCGTGATAAACAAGCTCAGCCCGCGAGGGCTTGGCCCATGCAGTACCCACCGCCTCTCCAGCCAAAGAAAGCAGCATGGAGGGTCTGGGAAGTAACTGCATTGCCAGGGAAGCAGGGTCATTGCCAGAGCTAAGATGCTCTGAGGTTTAGCTGGCATCTGGCATCCTGGGTACCAGCCCTGAAGCCCTGAGCTTGGTGACGCCAAAACAAGGGGCTGGCCTGGTCCCCTGGCTGCTGCTCTCGCGCCACCTAAACTGGACACAAGAGGCAGAGCGACAGTCCAGTGGGCAGGGCACTCGCCTTGCACGCGGTCACCCCCTGTTCAATCCCCCAGCATCCCCTGTAATCCATGAGAGAGCCCACTGGCAGCTGTGGCCCAAACAAAACCAAACCCAAACTGCAGATGAGTTCCCCTATAGGCCTGAGACCGGGGTGCCAAGTACTTTTTGAACCCCCCCCCCAAAAAAAGGTCCACACTCTCCTTTTTGCTTGTTTCTGGACCACACCCCACGGTACTCAGGGATCACTCCTGGTGGGGACTGAGGGACCATAAAGGGTGCTGGGGACTGAATCTGGGTCAGACACGTGCAAGGTAAGAGCCCTCCCTGCTGTACTAACACTTGGGCTGCGAGTCCACACACTGCCGGGGGCCTCAGGCTGACCCGCCAACTTCACAGCCCGCCAACTTTTCTCCCTTTCCAGCTTGGGGTGGGGTGGGGGTTTAGTGAGTCATACCCGGTGATGTTTATTTCTCCAGTCCTTCAGCTGTTTTATTCTGGTTTGGGGGCCACACCCGGCAGTGCTCAGGGCTTTCTCCTGGCACGGCGTTTGGGGGACCTGATGGGGTGCTGAGGATCGAACCCTGGTCAGCTGTGTGCAAGGCAAGGGATCTGCCCTCTGGACTACCTCTCCCATCCCAGATTTTATTGTATTTCTATTTGGGGGAAAGGCTCCAAGCAGCGTTCAGCAGATGCCGAAGCCCCTAACGGCAATATCCATCTGCTCTATGGCTGCACCTTCACCATCCTCTGGCTAATCACTCCTGCTTTTTCTCTTTTGTGGGGTCACACCCGGCATTATTCTTAGTTCTGCACTCAGGAATTACTCCTGGCAGTGCGCAGGGGACCATATGGGATGCTGGGAATCGAACCCGGGTCAGCCGTGTGCAAGGCATACACCCTACCCGTTGTTCTATGGCTCCAGCCCCTGCTTTTTCTTTTTTTTGCTTTGTTTTTGGGTCACGCCTAGCAGTGTTCAGAGCTTACTCCTGGCTCTGCACTCAGGGATAATTCCTGGCTGGTTAGGGGAGCGACTGGACCACATGTGGCACTGGGGATGGAACCCGGGTTGGTCATGTGCAAGAACTGCCCTCCCCCACCCCCCCCACCCCCATCGGTCGTTGAATCCCTTTTGATTGCAACCTCCAGCCCAGTCCCAAAGGGCTGGCCTCCCAGGGGGAGCTCAGCCTTTAAGTCAGCGAGTTCTCCAGGTGTTATTCTTGGCGCACCTGATGCGGAATTCCCCCAGGAAGGAAGGAAATGTTCCAGAAGCTTCTCCCACCGAGGAAACACTGTCCTTTCCTACATGGGCTGCTGGGGGCTTCCTGAACCGCAGGCCCGCTTCTCCCCAGATCTCCCTGCCCACACCCAGGTGCTTCCCAGCACAGTGGGGCTGGGACGCAGGGGAAAAGAAAGGAAAGGCCTCGTGTTGTTCGCCATGACTGTGTTTTGGGGGCCACACCCAGTAGGTGCTCAAGGCTTACTCCCGGCTCTGCTCTCAGGGACCATGTGAGATGCCAGGGATCGAACCTGGGTTGGCTGTCGGCAAGACCACTGCCCTCCCGTCTGCCCCAGGACAATGCCCTTTCACCCTCGCTGCACCTGTGGGTCAGATGCATCGGTCTCGATGCGGAGACCCAGGCCCAGTGGTTCTAAGCAGGCCCGTTTTTGGGGGGTGTAGTTTTCAGGCTACCTGTGGCAGTGCTCAGGGATCACTCCTGGTGAGGACTGACCCTCTGGATTCTCTCCAGTCCAGCCCTGGTCAGTGGCCCCATGGGGAAAGCCCATACTGAGATCTGCCAACTAGTCTCTGAGATGATCTGGGCTGCACCCAGGGCAGAACCAGAGCCCCGGGTGAGCCTGGGGGCATAGGACATGTGAGTGGCTGTGCCTTTCCAAGCTAGCAAGGGTCCTGGGGACCCTTCCCAGCTTAGGGGAAGGGGAAGGCATGGACAGGCAGCCCTTCCTATTTAAATCTCTGCCCACTCCCCCCTCCCAAAAAAAAACTAATAAACCTGGCCAAATTCAAGCTATTCCAGGAGACCATTTGAGTCTTCCCTGAACCAAAAAAAAAAAAAAAAAATCAAAGCAGGAGCAGTGAACCCTATTTTTACTTTTATGACAAACTGTGATTCTTTTGACCTTTAAAAAAAAAAAGGAACAGGGGCCGGAGCGATACTACAGCGGGTATAGGGCGTTTGCTTTGCACGTGGTCTACCCGGGTTCGATCCCCAGCATCCCATATGGTCTCCCCAGCACCGCCAGGAGTAATTCCTGAGTGCAGAGCCAGGAGTAACCCTCCGAGCATTGCTGGGTGTGACCCAAAAATAAAAAATTTAAAAAAAGGAACAAAATGAGCCTCTCACTTGGAGCAAAGGATGTTTTATTTGAGGTCCCTGATCCAATGCCAGCTTTCTGCTGGAAAGCAGATGGGGCAGGGAGACCACCAACAGAAGCCGGATGACCTCACCTCCCCCCACGCTCCCCCACCCCGGCCC